TCCGTTAGATTGAGCGAATTACAGACATATCAGACACGTCACATGAAGATTATCGGAATACAGAGTTACATAAGATATGCATTTTATAAGCATTTAATGTTCCTTCACATGATTATAAAGCCATAATACCGGCTACCGTGACCTAGGAAATATCAAACTCATGTTTATGCATTTCTTAAGTGGTTATACTTATAGACAATATAAGATTGCAGAGGCTATTCCTCTTTCTTCATCAGAATTCAAGTGGGAGCTGTGATTTCCCTTGGAATTCCTTTTGGGAGTCATAAAGTTTTATGACCTAGCAAGAGGGAGAGTTATAGAATCTTTCTTTAGAAATAAACTTTAAGGTTCGAAGTTACAGAACAGTTAAAATTACATCTATAGAATAAGACAAGACTAATTAGATATGCATGCATATAGGAAGGTTGGATACAATTTCTGTGTTATACAGTATACATTTATATACACATTATAGGACATTTGTGTGTGTGTGTGTGCAATCAATGTGTGATTGTCCTTCAGCGTTCAGGCAGCTTTGTGGACTCTTTCTGTGGGGGGGATGCGTGTCCCGTGAGACGGCGAGGTTTGAATGGTTGACTATTTGTTGAAGACAACGCTGGCTTGTTCCAAATGTGTCATGTGCTAGCCATAGTGGCACCAATCTGGTCAACATGCCCGAAGGGGGTCGTATACAGAATGCCCCTTTGTTTACTCACGACTGGAAGAGACTTTAGTAAATTAGAATCTAGTTAATTTACTCCACATACCAGAGCTGGCTCGATTACCTATCTGATTATCACTACACACTCTAATCAGCTAATTAACTCAAAACACCTGCAAAGGCTTTTAAATGGTCTCTGAGGCCCTGTCCACACGGACACGGGTATTTTTATAACCGTGACTTTTTTTACGCGGTTCGGCCGTTCGTCCACACGAAAACGCACTGAAACCGAACATTTTTGAAAACCCCTGCCAGGGTGAGGATTTTCAGAAACGCCGGTTACAGTGTTGTCGTGTAGACAGTGAAACCGGGGTTTTTGCCTTGCGACGTCAGAGTGTGCGCCGTTATCCGCTGTGTTTGACGTCAGATTTGCGCTTCTGATTGGCCAACGTGGCTTTACGGTTAATGTTTATATCGCCGCCTGCTGGCATGGCATGCTCTTGACCGCGCTTGATAGCGTGTTTTTACGTTTTCATGTAGACGGAGACCGAGCATGTGTGGACGGGATTTTTTTTAAAAACGCTGTAGGAAAAACTCCGGTTATAAAAATACCCGTGTCCGTGTGGACAAGGCCTCAGTCTAGTTCTGTAGGCTACACAATCATGGGGAAGACTACTGACTTGACAGCTGTCCAAAAAACGACCACTGACATCTTGCACAAGGAGGGCAAGACACAAAAGGTCATTGCTAAAGAGGCTGGCTGTTCACAGAGCTCTGTGTCTAAGCACATTAATAGAGGCGAAGGGAAGGAAAAGATAGTGGTGGGCAGATCGAGGCTTCGTGAAGCAATGAAACAGTTGAACCAAATGGTCCATATTGTTTCGAGGCTTCGAATCAATCCGACACCCGTCTCAATGGTGACACCTAGTGGTCATTTGCAGGTGTTGATCTCAAACAACCTTGACGAGCCATGAAAATTTGTTTTTGTTTTTTATTATTGTATTTTTCTAATATGTGAATCTTGCAACCTATAGGCTCCTCACTGTGCATAATGTTATTTTGGTCCTGCAAAATGAATATTAATAAAATAAATCAAGCCACAATGTCTCACTTTTTTTTACATATTTTTATTCAAAAATATTAATTTCTCTGCTGTGGAAGGACTTAGCCTACTTCTTTTTTTACAGATAATTTCTCCAGCCTTTGAAAAAATCCTCTCACAAGGGACACTTGTTGCTGGCATGCAAATATATTTTTTAGCTAGGACATACAAATGAGGAAAGATTACTGCTCTCTCTTTCCAGTAAGTTAGTGGATCATGAGTTCTGGGCAAATACGCATCGTTGATGTATTTTTTCACTTCCACTGTGGCATCAGCTGTAGCATTGTGTATCATCTGGGTTTGATGGATACGAGTATCAAAAAGTTCCCATAAACTGTCCTGTGTTTCTACTGGATGATGTATTGTTGCAGTAGGCGAGCTGCCGATCACAATACACACATCTCACTTTATTTGGGGTCTCTAAATGGAAATGCTCCCACACCACAGATGTACGGCATCTCTTCTGGGGAGCCTCCATTTTATCTATCTATCCAAATCTATCTAGATATGTATCTCTAATCTATCTATGTAATTAGATATATGTATCTACAATCTATGTATTTATATATGTAGCCTATCTTTAATCTATCTATATATGTATCTATCTATCTAGCTGTCTATATATATTTATATCTATGTATCTATTAATGTGTCACTATATGTATACTCTGTGTCTCTAGCCTATCAGTCAATGTGTTGTGTAAATTTAAATGTAAGCCTAAATATAACTAAACAAATCGCACTATAATTGTCACTATATCACCAAAAATCCGCTATCTCAAAATCAAACTCCTCTCACAAAAACCCACGAGGTCAATATGCGTTGATTTCACTTTTATACAGATGTGCGATTGTGTGGTCTGTTGATCCCGACCGTGTCAATCAAACGCTGATTCGGCGGATCACACCTGATGAAACACTTAGTGAAACACTTCGAGGCTTGTGAGGTCACGTGACATGGGTGTTTTGAATCACGCTTCGAATCAGTGTTTCGAAACATCTGCGCTTCGGGATCTCGCAAAGCTTCGGAACGACTGTTTCGCGGCAGCCATCCCTAGGAAAAGATGTGGTAGAAAAAAAGTGTACGATCAATAGGGATAACCGCACCCTGGAGAGGATTGTGAAGTAAAACCCATTCAAAAATGTGGGGGAGATTCACAAAGAGTGGACTGGAGTCAGTGCTTCAAGAACCCCCACGCACAGACGTATGCAAGACATGGGTTTCAGCGGTCGCATTCCTTGAGTCAAGCCACTCTTGAACAAGACACAGCGTCAGAAGCGTCTCGCCTGGGCTAAAGACAAAAACGACTGGACTGCTGCTGAGTGGTCCAAAGTTATGTTCTCTGATGAAAGTAAATTTTGCATTTCCTTTGGAAATCACGGTCACAGACTCTGGAGGAAGAGAGGAGAGGCACAGAATCCACGTTGCTTGAAGTCCAGTGTAAAGTTTCCATAGTCAGTGATGGTTTGGAGTGCCATGTCATCTGCTGGTGTTGGTCCACTGTGTTTTCTGAGGTCCAAGGTCAACGCAGCCGTCTACCAGGAAGTTTTAGAGCACTTCATGCTTCCTGCTGCTGACCAACTTTATGGAGATGCAGATTTCATTTTGCAACAAGACTTGGCACCTGCACACAGTGCCAAAGCTACCAGCACCTGGTTTAAGGACCATGGTATCCCTGTAGTTAATTGGCCAGCAAACTCGCCTGACCTTAACCCTATAGAAAATCTATGGGGTATTGTGAAGAGGAAGATACGATACGCCAGACCCAACAATGCAGAAGAGCTGAAGGCCACTATCAGAGCAACCTGGGCTCTCATTACACCTGAGCAGTGCCACAGACTGATCGACTCCATGCCACGCCACATTGCTGCAGTAATTCAGGCAAAAGGAGCCCCAACTAAGTATTGAGTGCTGTACATGCTCATACTTTTCATGTTCATACTTTTCAGTTGGCCAACATTTCTAAAAATCCTTTTTTTTGTATTGGTCTTAAGTAATGTTCTAATTTTCGGAGTTACTGAATTTGGGATTTTCATTAATTGTCAGTTTTAATCATCACAATTAAATGAAATAAACATTTGAAATATATCAGTCTGTGTGTAATGAATGAATATAATATCCAAGTTTCACTTTTTGAATGGAATTACTGAAATAAATCAACTTTTTGATGATATTCTAATTATATGACCAGCACCTGTATATTTGTTCATGGTTATGTGTGTGCAAATGTGTTTCAATAGATCGAGCGCATCCAGAACATGAATCTTCGGCGGTTATATGAGGGACGTAAAAAAGAGCTGGAGAACAGAAACAGTGGCAGTGTGGGAGCAGGAGAGAAGACCCTTTATCACGGCACATCAGAGGAGTCCTGCTCATCCATCATGAATTCAAACTTTAATCGCAGTTTTGCTGGGCAAAACGGTAATTGTTTGTTTTTAAAGGTTAATTAATTTAAATATAGTTCACCAATTCTGTTATTATTCGTTTGTGACCGATGTCGAAAAGGCTGATATTTGGCATTTTATTATGTAGGACGGTTGTTCTGTTTGGCCGATGAATCTCATTAGTGAGACTTTTATTTTGACGGCACTGACGCACAGGGCGCTCTGCATTATTTAGTCAAATTCACTGCATCCTGTACATAAACATCCAAAAATGGAAATTATATATTGCCAATTATATCACCTATACATAAATATTCACTTTTGAATATATTAGTGGTGTAACGGTACATCACTGGACTTCGACGTCACAAATCGGCGCAATGCCAAATGACTTGTCTCATTATAAAGGCGGAAACAACTTAAAATACTCCGTCATTTATGGTCATATAGATAAGAGTAAGACATCATTCGAAAGGGGCTATTTTTATTTGTGTACACTCATAAAAACAAAACATTGTGCTTTTGTAAAATAAAGAAACAAACAGGATGCCGCCTTCTGCCGTCCCGGTTTCCTTTTCGTAAAGTTTGTGGAGCGTGTCACAAAAATGAATCAAAACTCAGCCTTAAGACTACTAGCAAGCTCTTGTGTGCCATCTGAACATACTGCGCACCCTCTTCTGGATTGGAGTGTGTATCGCCTGTGACTGACTGTATTCGTGTGTTGGCCTCTTGTCGTGTTGCAGACAAAGAGCTTGTGGCGGGCGGTGCAAAATAAGTGTCAAGACGCGACTGTTTAGCTGGAGTTCCACACATTATGCCATGCTCATTTGGGTGCAAATTTTCGAGATGTGACCATGTTGCTAGTGGTCGAATGGTATGCTAACTGTATCTTACATAGCTTGCATACTATATCTCGCGGCTCCACAATTTTACCTTCTACCGACCAAAATCCAAAGTGCTTCCAGACATGGCTTTTTAGATTTTTGGGGGTTAAAATCACTTTCTCTGCTGCGGTCGAGTTGGGCTCTGCACTTTCTGCCTTCTTCCATGTAAGTCAACTTTCAGCAGTGACGCTGTTCCAGTGCGACTCTCCTGTGACCTGTCCCTGATCCCTCAGGCAGCGCACCCACTCGCAAAGCAGACAGCCGCGCCTCTGCTACCGCGGGCGTTTTTCTTTTTTCTACATTCGAATATTAGTTTTCACATTAGAATTTCTGTTTTTTTTTTTAAACTATTCGAATTTAGAATATTCGTTGACAGCCCTAGTGCCAACTGTTTTTGCTTTTTAAGAATTGCAGTTATTTTCCAAAATAGTGAAAAGGCTGTCAGGGCCCAAAAATGACAAAAAGTACCATGGTCCATTAGCCTGGGAAAACCCAGACAACTTCCGGCAAATTTAGATTTGCTCTGAAAGTTAGTCTGGCAAAGAGCTCATTCAAACCCATTTCCAATCCGCCGAAATCGCGGCACCAATCAGAAATGTTGGGGCGGGCTTTACACGATGACGACAGCGCTGGGATTTTGAAGCAGATTTTGTAGCCTACATTACAAAGATGGATGCCGCCGTCGAACATCACTCGTTCGAATCAGCTATCGCGTCTGTTTTAAGCGATTTGAACGTTTCCTTTTTGTAAAAACCCGAGCAAAGAACAACACTCGGAGATGTTTCTCCGCCGCTCTGCATACGTCATCTCCTTCATCGCTCTGATTGGTTTTAGGTCTGTCCGCGACGTCCGTTGGTGACGCCCCTCTGGAAATGATTTGTCTATGACGCTTTGCCAGACCATAACTCGGTTACAACTGAGAATGGTCTGGTTTTAACCAGGCTAATGGTCCATATGAATCACTTATAGTCTTCTGAAGTTAAGCAATAACTGTGGGAGGAACAAACCCAAATTTAGGATGTTCTTCATTGAACAGCAAATCATGGCAGAATTGTAATTTTTGGGTGAATGTTACCATTATTATTTTATTTCTGTCAGGTCCATTAAGTCAAGAACACACAAACAAAATAATTTAGAATTTAATTGAATAGATTGCAAACAGGTTGATGTTCCTGAATTGAAATTTGGCGGTATGGCTCTGTTCAGGGAGTCCTCTGACCTTTCATGAGCACCATGAAATAGCAGAGAGTCAGAGGACAGCAGCAGCAGCAGCATTAGGGAACGCTCACACAGTTTTAGACTGTGAGAGCTAAAATATCCCCCTGTGAACAGAGCAGGCAACATGACATAAGCAAATGCCACGTTATGCATAAGGAGGAGCTGGGGAGGTGGCGGGCAGCAGAAGCGAGCAGCGAGCCAGCAGAGCGAGCAGCAAGCATGTATGAGCAAGGTGAATGAGCTTTAAATAGGGCGCCTTGTTTGAGCTTTGCCATTGAGCAGCGAGGGGAGTTAACCAGCTAATGCGGCTCAGCTGGAGCAGATCAGCTGACGGGACAGTGTTGATAGCAAATAGCATAAGCAGCGGCTTGACTACCTGACCTGCCAGAACTGACGCTGACGCTCAATTTGATGGACTATCCAACTGATAAGTCACTGATCTCATTGGTTGTTCATTTTGAAGACTAATCGATTAACTCACTCTGATGACTTTTTATTTGTTCTCAGCCACCGTCTACGGTAATGGGACGTACTTTGCTGTGGACGCCAGCTATTCTGCCCATCCTACCTTCGCGGTTCCTGCAGCAGACGGGACTCAGCTCATGTTCGTGGCTCGTGTGCTTACGGGTCATTACGCTCAGGGTCAGACGGGCATGAAGACGCCCCCTGTTCGCCTCGCACCTGACCACAATTATGACAGTGTGGTGGATAACATCCAAAATCCTGCCATGTTTGTGGTTTTTCACGACTGCCAGGCTTATCCAGAATACCTCATCACATTTAAATGAACTTCAGCCAAAACCAACCTTGGTTTGTTTCCTGTAAAGTCAACTGGATGAGCTCTGAATGATCTATAAACCATTGCTGTTTACGTAGTTGCTTTTATATTTAAATATAATCACTTTTATGCAAAGGTTAGATTAGGTATCTTTATTTATATATATATATATATAGATACCTCTTTAAACTTTGTCATTCTCATTGTATATGAGTGTTTTAGTGACCAATATTATTCAAACTACACAATTTAATTATATGAGAGCAGAAAAGTGCTATATTAATTACCGTAACAAAGCTGTTTATTTTATTATTATGGAACATTTACTCAGATAAAATACTTCAGGGAATCGCACAGGTATTTTCTGACTTGTGCAATCCACATATTTAGCTTCAGGGCAATCTATTCATCACTACTGGATACAAAAAAAAAGGTGTAATGGTGAAATATGTAATGGTCATATTACAACTCTTCTTTCTCGGTTCCCATATCTCCTTCAGGCGCCTCACTGTCATGATGAAACTAATTGATTGAAGTGTAGGAGTTTGCGCAATTTTAAGTTGCTGTCACAGCAGTGCAATCCTTAAGAGCAATATAGATTAACCTAAGAAAAACAGTCTGTATTGTAACAGAAGCTGTTTTCTTGTTTTATTTCACTCAGTTTCTATTTTTATTTCATTTTCTGACATTAATTTAGCTTAATAAACTGCAGAACAGACGAATCAGCCACTATTTTATAGAGGAGGCCTAATCTGATTGATCTAACCTAAAATGATTTATAAACTCTCAAAATGTCTACAATTCTAAATCCATCCAATGGCGATGCATTATTAAAAAATGTGTTGTGATTTTTGCATACTGAATTGTGATTGTTTTTTGCTTTCCTGTCCTTACAGCACGTTGGTTTAAGTTGAGTCACTTATTATTCTTACATGCACTATAGCGCCACTTAAAGAGGCAAAAAACATATAGGCAAAACAAAATGAATACCCATGGCTCCTGACGATACACTGAGGTCTTATGAAGCGAAACGATCATTCTGTGTAAGAAACTGAACATTATTTGAAAATGTTACCTATAATCTACAGCCTCGGTCCTAAAAGCGTTCATAACCGTCTGGACTGGAGCGCGAGCTGCCTGGGGTAGTGCCTGATGCATTGACAAATGCGCGGGTCGAGGGAACAAATCAAGCACAATAAAGTCTGAAAAGTGAAGCCAAAGTGTCTCGATCGCCCCCAGGTGGTTTGTCATAAAATACGCCCTCTCCATATAGTCAAGATAGTCTAATGGGACGTGAGGCAAACCAAACAATCAAATTACCCTTCAAATTATTTTTTTCCTATAATGTTTTCTGTCATTTAGTTTTTATCATGATGTAAGTTTAAGTGTTCATTTTATTAAATAAATTTGGTTTTAGTTATTGTTATTTAATGCTATAAAAACGGGAATGTGACGTCATGATTGACAGCTGTGATTGAGCTTCTCTGCGCGAAGTAGCCTACTCACTGAGGCACCAACAGGCTTTTTGGGGGCAATTTCGGGAGGGGATCGGAGCTTCAACTTTAATTTCTACATGTCCATAACTGTTTATTTCACACTGACATAATGAGTTGGTCTGCAGTAAACTGTACTAATCTTTTCTGCGGAAGTGTGGGTGGGGCCTTGATCCGACTCTCGCTCATACTCTCGCTACCATAGACAGGTCCCGCAAGATGTCAGCGCCATATTGAATTTCATCTACAATGGAAGAGGGTGAAGGTGCGTTGTCCATCTTTTTTTCACAGTCTGTGGAACAAATGCATTCCAGGCAGCTCGGAATATAGATTTTTCCCACCTCTTTCTTGGAAATAACATCTAAAAACATGGTGAATGTGGGTTCTTATGCCGTGTTCCAGGCAACCTGTAACCCGTGTTTTTCCAACCTTATACCCGTGAAAGTGCACTGGAACGGCAGTCAAACCCGTGACTTCCCATCCGTGAACTCGTACTAGATCGATGTACTCCCAGTTACGAGCTCTGACGTCACATAGCCCGCGAAACCATACAAAACAACAATGGCAGCCCCTACGGATGCAGTGTTTCTGCAGGCGGTACACGGTGTGAATACACTTTAGGACAATATAACGTTAACTAGTTTTCAGTCCATTTAGTGCAAGGATAAATTAATACCAAAACCATTTCCAAATATACAAATAAAGTAAAATAAAAGGTATAGCTTATCTTGCCTTATGCGCCATTTTTCCTCCGTTTCCCTCAAATAAACAAGGAGTAAGCACCTTTGGCGACAAAAATTATTACAAATGCGCATAAGCCCCGTAAGGTCTGCCATGCTGGTTTGTTTACATCTAGCTACCACAATTCCTTGGGCTCAGGTAGTTTAGCGTGACTGAACTGGAATGCTACAAAGTCGTGAGTCGTGGTTTGAAGTCGTGATTTACGTGCTCAAAAACCTGCCTGGAACGCAGCATTAGTGAGCAATAAGCTTGGTGAAATTAAAGGTAGTCTACATCGTGTCTGTGATCAATGTTTACCGAGCTTGGTGACTGATGAAAATAAGTTGACTATTAGCAAGAACAGCTGAGTTCACAAATAAAATATATTGTTTAAATTGTTACTGCAGTGAGGTATTATTTTTGAATAAATGTAAAAATACCCTAAAAACACTAACTTGATGAGATTTATACTTGGTGTTAATTTAAAAAAAGAACGTTAATTACATACAAAATCTAATTGTATTTGGTTTCTTGTTTTTTTTCTTTGATGTAATGTTTAACCGGGAAAATGTGACAACATTAAGTGTAACTATGACATGAATTTCATTTGATTTATTAATAATAATAAAAAAACTTGAGGACTTAAAGGTGACCTATAATTCAAAATTGAATTTACCTTGGTATAGTCAAATAACAAGAGTTCAGTGCATGGACATGACATAGAGTGAATCTCAAACTGGACTGTTTTCGCGTTCTCATTTAATTCACGTTTATGAAAAACACCCCTGAAAAACGGTCGGTTCTCCACACAATACCGACTGTGACGCAATAGTCGGGATCATTAATATGTACGCCTCCAAATATTTGCATAATGCCAGCCCTCAATGCCAGGCGGAACTGCGCAGCCGAAGCATGGCAGTTGCTCAGTGTGGATGTACACATGAACACAAAAGTATTTTTTAGTTCCTTCATCTGAGCCTCTGAAGAAACAATGGGTTCATTTTATTTTCTCTGGAAATTTCCAAACATTTCACCGACTGTTTCCTCAACTTGGGCCAATACAGAGCTGGCCTCGGATCGAGCTACCAAGCAACACTTTCTGATGTGTAATTGTTCAAGTTCAGACAGGTAATCTTTCTCTCAAAATCGTTCAATACTGTTTATGCATCAGTAAGTCAAGCCAGTGACTAAAATATCAGCTTCACATCGTTTCTTTTAGTAGGATGAAAATAATCGTATTTAAATTGTGAACAAATTATATACAGAAAGCGATCAAAGAACAATCTTTCCACACAGCGCGAGTTTATCTGGACACTTGCCAAACTCGTTATGAAATCAATGACGCACGTTACTGCACAACGAAGCTCTTACTGTATTTACATCATCGTGTTTGCATTGGTGAAAGCAGAGAGAGTGCAGAAACTGCTTTGCAATGATAAGATCTTCATTCTCGCGATCAACACACTGTCATCTGCTCAATGCTCATCACGGCAACATTTTATGTGATGGGAATAGATCTAAATACTTTAAAAACATCTCACGATTCGTTAATCTCGATAGCTGTTATAGTAAAAACGTATAATAGCAGTAGTAAAAGTATTCGGGAGAGAGTTTCACATGTAATGCGTAGCTATTTCATATGCAAGCATGTCAGCCAATCACAGCAGTGGCCGCGGTTACACTGAATCCCACAGAGACACGCCCCTTCAAACAGAGTGTTCAAATCAGAGGCTAAAAGCAGGCTAGGAAAAATGCCATTTATTTCTAAATTATGATTATTTTTTATCTAAAAAACATACTAACATTATAAGGGTAACCCAGGAAACATTATAAAATAAAAATAAAAAAACATTCTAGGGCACCTTTAATATAGTGCACAAGTCATATGTACTGCTTTCATGGAACTGGACTAATGATGAGCAGGATTAAAGCTGTGCCGAGACAAAACATATGCTTTGTTTTCCATGGGTCAGTTAATATGACTAAACTTTAAGTTGTGGGTGAATTAATAATTGATGTGGTTAAAAAGATGAATGTTTCCGTTGTGTTGCAGTTAGATGTGTAGCCAGCGGCAGCGTGTGATTTAGTGACACATCCAGTCATTGACTTTAACTGATTTCTGATATCTGATCTCTGATATCTGTTCTCACATACCTAGATTCCTGATACATACGTCATCAGACTCGTCCCACTCTGGAAGTCTGGAGTTCTCCCAATAAAGAGCGTAATAAACAAACTGGAGGTGAGAAAATTCCCTTTTATCTGTATGGGCCATAAAGAAGTTATTCAGTGGAAAGATGACACTTCTGTTTACACATTTTCCTCCACTTACTCATAAACTGTGTAGCAGAAATTGGTGCTGCATGTCAGTGTAAACTTTGTTATCTGAGGTTGAGATTGAAAACAATACAAAGGAAACCGTAGCTGATCTTGGCACAACACAAACACTTTGTTGAATTCACGATCAAATTCCCATCCAATTCCTGATTGCACAACTGTGCTGTGCCAAAATTCACATCTGAAAACGTCATCTGTTCCCTTAGGGGACACGTTCACCCTTTGACATTTTCTCTTTTTTTTTGAACAGCTTGGACTATTTCAATTAGTCATCAGCAGTTTCACTACTTTTGCATTATTGCAATGGTTTTCCCAAAAAGGAACTGATGAAAGAGCAAGATGACAAATGCAACAAAACTTATGCTTAACTGAAGTTTGGCAGACGCAACAAACCAATCGCCTGAAATAAGGACAATATAACGTTAACTAGTTTTCAGTCCATTTAGTGCAAGGATAAATTAATACCAAAACCATTTCCAAATATACAAATAAAGTAAAATAAAAGGTATAGCTTATCTTGCTTTATGCGCCATTTTTCCTCC